ACAGCGAAGCTGAAGGCATGAAGAGTCAGCAATAAAGTCCTCATGTCCATGGATACTCATGATGGCGATCAAGATAAAATTGATGATGACACTGTTGTTCATGTGGATGATGACGGTGATAAAGAAGACGACACGGATGACGAGAGGAACAGGATGAGCATATTAAATCTGAGGATAGAGGGTCACAACGAACGGGATGCTTCAGTGTTCGTAATTATAGAGCCATGACCATCACCGTCATCACCTCCGCGTTTCAAGAAGATGCAGACCACCCTTGATGCAAGGACGAACCGACGAGAGGGCAGAGACGAAGTTCGTCGACCCGCTGTCGGCAGCTTGGACGCGAACAACAAACCCAGGTTGTAACGGCCCTGGCACTCTGACACTCATACCCTTCAGCGAATCCTTCTCCAAGGGCACCCCATGTCGAGGCAGAATCTGCAAAAGGACGTGCCCTAGTGCAGTTGCACATGCTTGGTGGCATATGGAGAGAGGGAGAGAGACAGAGACAGAGACAGAGACAGAGACAGAGACAGAGACAGAGACAGAGACAGAGACAGAGACAGAGACAGAGAGGCACACCCATGAAAGCGTGGGTGGGCCTCATTGAAAATTACGTATACATTAGATTAACCGGTGGTTTGTTTAAGGAGGGGTTTCTGTCCCAGCCAGGGTGGTCTCCAAGACCTTTGCGCTGATCTAAGGAGCTTTACAAGCCCATTCGGTGGTTTAGCTGCCGCGGAGTTCTTCGGAACGGTTCCGAGGGTGTGGAACGGTTCCTACCTGTTCGGCGGTGTTGCTGACAATGTTTTCGGAGATTTCGTAAATAGTTCCTGAGAGTTTGAAAATGGTTCCACAGCCCCTCATTGCACGCACAGGCAAACAGACCACCAGTAGCTCCAACGTATACATGTTTACATCTGCCTGAATTTGTACACATGCGCACATGCATGCACAGGTACATCCGTGCAGCCTGACCTGACAGACAAGCAAATAGACGATCATCGGGACGGACAGATGGAAGCGGACGGACGGACACACATACACACAAACATCGAAAACGTGTAGTGTTCCAGATGTCTAAGGACCTGCTCCGCAAAGTCAGCGTTGTTGAGCCGGAACGGTTGCGACCCAAGGAAAGCTCCGCTGCTCGGACGTGTTTTGTCGGGTCTTGGCTTGCGAAGATGTGATGAAAGACTTGCGCCGCATGGCCGTAAGCACTGCTGGATGATGATCCTTTCTAAGAGACCCATGCACAAGTTCGTGCCAAAAGGCCTAGAACCAGCTGCTCCAGCAAATCCTTTGCGCCCTTGAAGCCTTTGCACCCGAGCCTGAAGTCCTTGACACTTTTGTTGCTCTGTCCGTTATCATTGCTTTTGGCAGGCGATTGCCCCGGTCAGCTTGCACTTCAGCTCCCGACCAGCGAAGTGGCGTCAAGAAAAGCATGCCTACACTCGGCTCTGAAACTGGAGGAGAGCTAAAGCTTTGCAACGGCAATACGGTCTTCTCATGCTTGGCTTAGCTCAATTGATCGCAACCCCGGACCACTCCTACCATCGCTGTTGCTTTACTTTTTACTACTACTACTACTACTACTACTACTACTACTCCTCCTCCTGCTGCTGCTGCTGCTGCTGCTGCTGCTGCTGCTGCTACTGCTACTGCTACTATTACTACTAATATTTGTTATAATAGTAGCAGTAATGGCTACGGATAAATTTTGCGATTAATCTAATACAGGAAAAAAACTTACTATTGATTTGTCTATGCCGTGAAAGGCTAGATAGTCCATGAATTGTCTAGTTGAGGTTAAGTATCGCTGGACCGTTCCGGCTGCGAAAGGGGCCGAGGCTCTTGGAGGCCAGGCCTTTGGATGTCTGGAAGATGATAGGCTTTGTTGGAGTGAGCTATATTCTGGGCCTAAAATTTGGAGGTGCTGAACCCTTATTTTTCCAATGATCTTATTAATATTTCGAGGGCTTACTTTTAAGATATTAATTATATTTTCAATAATTGCTATATATTTTTTTATAGCTACATTATAATTAGGTATTTTTCCGCTCCATATTTCTTTTGATTTCAGCTTGGGCTTATTTAGAATGAATATCGATATGGTATTATGAAATTCTCAAAATTCTAGAAATTCGAAAATAAATAATAGAAAGATTTATATATATATATAGTAAATGAAATCTTAATATACGGAGATTTTGAAAATATTAAATTCATTATATGATATGAAATTTAAAATATTGAAAATTCGAGATAGTATTTTGTCGTTTAAGGTAATATTATAAAAATATTATGCGATATTCAGAAAATTAGTAGGATATTTTTTCTTTCATATTATGGGCGATTTAAATATTTTATTTTCCAAGGAATTCGTAGGCGACTTTATTATTTTGGATCTATAATATATAGAATCTTTTATTTACTCTAATATCTTGAGATACTTTTATAATTTTAATATTTGGCAAATATTCATATATAAATCGATAATATATATATATATATAATAAATAAAAAACGGAATTAATAATGCATTCCGGAAGGATCTGGAATGGCGGAGGAGAATAATTTCGAGGGAATCTTATGACATAAAATGCTATATGGAGCGTTCCAGTCCCAAAATTTTCGAAAAATTTCTGGTCTCCGGCGAGCAAGCGGATTGGGTTTACCTGGGACCGCTCGGGCTGCAGTTTTAAGAGGGCGGGGCCTCTTCGTGGTCTCGGGATAGGCCTAATCTTCGAAATATTTAGAAAATTTGGGGATCCGGTAGCTCGACGCCTCGGTCTTGAAATTTGCGGAAAATTTTCAATCATCGCTTCTCCATTTAGATGCCGAAAAGTTTCCGAAAATGTAAAGAACGAATGCAACCTTCTAATATCTTTTATTAAAAGCAGAGCACGTATTACAGCCATTTTGTAATCTTGCACTGGAATATCGTTTCTTATCTATTCATGTGGGTTATCGATCATAGGGATTTTCATATGTAGTGTTATGGATGAGCGCTTGCAGGCGAAAGTTCAGTATCTGTCTGTCAGCCCAGCCCAGCCCAGCCCAGCCCGGGCTGGGTTGCTGGGTTGCTGGGTTGCTGGGTTGCTGGGTGGGCTGGGCTGGGTTGGCTGGGCTGGGCCCTGGGCTGGGCCCTGGGCTGGGGTCGGCTGGGCTGGGCTGGGCTGGGCTGGGCTGGGCTGGGCTGGGCTGGGCTGGAAGCCTGGGTAGTCGTCGGAGTGCGCGGGCTGGGCTGGGCTGGGCCCCCTAGCCCAGAACTGCCCCCAGCCCCCCAGCCGCCCAGGGCGGGGGGGGCTGGGGGCTGGGGGGGGCTGGGGGCTGGGGGCTGGGGTGGCTGGGGGCTTGTAGGAAAGGGCTGGCCTGCGCTGGGATCTGGGAGGCTGGGGGCTGGGGGCTGGGGGCTGGGGGCTGGGGGCTGGGGGCTGGGGGCTGGGGCTGGGCTGCTTCGGCTCGATCTGCCCTGCAGCAGACCGTGGGGACTCAAGTGCGAGCAGAGGGATATCAGCAAGTCCTGGACCATGAGGAATCCGTCGAAGTGCCGATATCGTTGATCACGACGACATTCAGTCTACCCTTGGTCGCACATCGACCAGCATCTGCCATCATGACCCTCGCCAGTATTTTCATGTCGCTCGTGCGTCAGGCATCATGGCTCTATGAAGAGTTTGATGTGTGTGAGGACATGCACGCATACATGACTGAGAGGACCCCGAAATCAACGAGCAGCATTCCGAAGTTCTTTCCCGAGGATTGATCCGAAAGTGCAGCAAAGAAAGCCGACTACGACCGCATGCATGCTGTCCGGAACGTGTCCAAACTTCAGACGAACCTAAGCCCAAATCGTACCCTCCAATTCCCACAGCCTAGATCGCAGTCCCGGCGCTCACCCAGCATCAAATCAAGAACCTGAAGACTTGTGAGACTATTACCACCTAGGCTCTCGCAAGAATCTACTAGTTGTGGATTTGCTTGTTTAGTCCGCACAACGCGAAGTAGTAGTAGATAGGGTGGCTTCGAAGTTCAAGGCAAGACTGTCAATGGGAACCAGCGTGTTAAAGGCTCTCCTGCTCATAATGGCGGCAATGGTGCATTGCTGGAGTGCCGTAGGGTTGAACGCCAAGAGTCGTCCAGGAGGAGCTCCCCAAGACCTGAGTCCTGTGAGGCATGCGGCTAGAACCATGTCGTTTCCTCCCTCCACTTGCAAAACAAGCCGTGCAACGACTTCTTCGCTGGCATCTCGGCCGGAGCAACAGACCCGTACAGCTGCTAATACGCATTTCAATCGACATGTTTTTAGCATGGCTACGACAAGCGATGATTATCGTGCTGCTTTTAGTTTGGCCTTTCTCGGTTGGGTTCGTTTTTGCAAATGACAGTACCACTCTTGTTCTTCTTGTCAGGATTCGTTGCTGAAAACTAGCAGCGTCCAGACTAGAGTGCATGACTCTGCTATTGGCTGCGGATTTCAATGTAGCGCCGAGCAACCATGGGTGACTCGTGCAAGTCCTAAGCGCTAAGCTAAGCCTCACACCAGTTCTCCAAGTGTTATAGAGGCCGCTACCCCCAACCATGCCTAAGCCCCGAATTGCTGCAACGCAACACAACACACACACAGACCCTGCTGAAACTAGGAGGCTTGTCCTGAGATTCTTCATCGCAGCCAAAGCTTCCCGAGTTTAGGAGTTAGCGAAGTTTGGCGTTGGTTTGTCCATGAAAAGCACTGATGATGCCTGCATCTGCGTGCTGCTGGTGCTCACATGGCACTTCCATCACCGGACATTCGGCGATGCATATGCCTTTCCATTTGCTGCGTCATCTCCATGTTGAGCTTTTTCGGCCTTTCGCGAGTGGTGAGGCTGACATCTGCACCGGGCGAGCTGTTTTCCAGTAAAGTGCTCACAGTCCTCCAAGATCCAATAGAGACAACACCGAGCAGAGTTTCAGGCACAGACCTCGACGCCAGCGAGGATGGGGATCTAGAAGGCATGAACGTGACAGAGGACAGGGAAGCCTTGGCTGCGCCGGGCCTTGCACTTGGCGACTTCAAGTCAGACGCAGACGTTCCAACGGAGCTGACACTGTCAGTGGAGGCTTCTGCTCCAGGGCCTGAGTGCCGGTGCTTGGGGAAGCACAGCGTGTTCTTCCACCCGATCGACAGGTTGCCCAAGAAGGTCATGAGCAGGAAGGTTGCTGGCCAATATGGCTTGGTTTTCGCAGCTTCCGCACAGACTGCCGACGTGGTTTTTGCTTCATCTCGTGACAAGAAGGTGAAGAAGGACCTGGCAAAGGGAAGAGCTGCCATTCTTCTCATGCGGACAGACTCCACTACCATGGGCAGTGACCACGATTTACTGGATCATCCTCGTGTGATTGGCATGTTTAGGGAATTCGCGCCGCGCAGAAGGGAACAGTATTTCTGGCCGTGGTTCAAAAGCAGAATCCATTACTTCAAGATCTGCAATTCCACGCGCTTTCGGACAAACCCGATCTGTGATCGTCCGAAGCAATTCAGGCCTAAGCACATGGTTCGGGCCGGGGTCGACAAAATTCGCGTGGTGAACCTGATCTGGTGGCAGTACTTTCCGATCTTGGAGAAGCCCATCCAGGATTTGTCAGCCCAGCCTGCAAGGGTCTTCCGGTACAGGGATGATGAGTTTGTGATTATGCGGCTGTTCATGCTGCCGAAGAAGTAGATGCTGGTGATGATGTGGAGGTTCATTGTCGTGACGCTTGAATCTGCATTCCGACACTCATGAGGGGTGGTGGCGGCGATTGTGGTTGGGGTGATGATGATGATGATGATGATGATGATGATGATTGGGATTGTGATCATGATGAGGATGATCAGGACACCAGTTCCGAGGATTATTTTATCTTGGATTCGGGCTTTAGGTCCATGGACACATGTTTGATCACTACTTACCGGGGTATGTCAAGCCAAGACCCAGATCTGCAACGAAGCTGGAATCTTTGCCTGAAGGACTTCGATGCTGCGCCCGAAACGATCTTGGACAAGCCGCGGCCCATCGATGTGGGATCTTTCCAAACAGAGCGATCCTGAAGCTTGTTGGTAGAAGATCAACATAGGGACTCTGGCTGTCTACATCGTAGAACCCTCTGGAATTGCCACACAGCCCCACTTCGGAGAAAACAAACCATAGAGCAGCACTGTTTCTTGCAAATCCATGGGTTTTCCTTTCCCAGAGCTCCAAGTCTTAGCAGGCTTTCAGAAAGCTTTCGAAAGTTTGCAACAGCAATGGGTAGGGCATGCTCAAAATTTGGACCCCGACAGCACAAGCCCCTAAACATCTTCGATACTTAAAGCCCTGGAGGTGTTCGTGGCCGTGCACTTGCGAAATGACGACCCCTACTCCTTGCAAAGATCTGCTCTCCGAGCCGTCTGTCTCTAAGAGAGCCCTAAGGGGTACCCTAAGGGGTACTCTAAGGCGTGCAGTAGGGGCAGTATAAGGGGCTTAATAAGGGGTAACTATAAGGCGTACTACAAGGGTACGATTCGGGTTCTCTAAATAGGACCAGAAGATGGCCGAAGATTTCTTTGGGCATCGACAGACTCTCAGACCCGAGCCCGAGAGACACATCAAATCGTAAAATCCCACAGCCCAAACTCCGAACCAGGAGACCTTGGCCGATCCGTCGCTGTCTGGGCTGAAGCAGGTGCAATACTTTTGTTACGAAGGGGAGTCGGAACTCTGGAAAGCGACATGGAACAGGGTGGTCCATGGGCCAGTTGGCTGCAGGCGAGCCCTGTATAGTGTTCACAGTACTTGCAGTGACACCGGCAATAGAGCAAAACACGCAAGCTTATGTCGAGCATGTATGTATCCATGCAGATGTCGATCTCACGGGCATTGAGGAAGAGCAGGAGGAGAGGACAGGCGAGGAAGCAGGGGAGGTGTAGCATGAGGAGTGGGTAGGAAGGTAGGAAGATCACGACGACGATGATAATGTCAGGCGCAGCATTGGAGTTGACAAACGCTGGCAATGAGACGCTGACTAGGAAAGCAGTGAGACGAGCAATACCAAGAATCCAAAGAGAAACAGCTCATGTTGATAGCCTGAGCAGTCATCCGAACTGTACTTCCGGGAAGTTGCACAAGAGCGCAAGTACGACGAATTGCAAGTTCTAAGCCACGAGCCTGTTCTTCAGCCTCTTGGGACGTGGTGCATAGCCGAGGCTCAACTGCCTGAAAGGCGACCAGTACATGAGCTATTTGCGACAAAGCAAGATTGTCGTCTGCGCCTGGGGATTCGGAGAGCGAACTGGCTGCGAGCATGGCGGCTGGGTTCATGGAGCTTTGGTGGTGAAGCCTCAGTCGGACTGGGTACTCTCACTGCCGGATATGTACAGATCGAATGCGACCTACATAGCTGTGAAAGCCGACTGGAGCGATCTGCCTACCACTTTGCGGCATGTGCTGGCTCACTACGACGGATGTTCGGATGAGCAATACGGAAAGCTTTGTTTGGGCTTGGTCGGGTTTCCTTATTCGCTTATATCATATTCCCTACCCCCAAGAGGGCCTTCCTTCCTGCCCCAGGATACAGAGGCATGCGCGCCTATGCGCGCAAGACGTTCCTTCGAAACGCCACGCATAAGAAGTTCCTTGACCATTTCTGGCGCCTTGGTTGCACTTTTCAGCCGTATCTCATCCCTAGTCAGTCTTACACCAAAGTTAGCAGGAAACCCTTCATGTCGGGTAAAGCCCGAGGTTAGTCGTTAGCGAATCCCTCGTATTTTGCAGGCTGGTTTAGCTGTTGCTGTTGGAAAGGAGTCGGTGTACACCTTTAGGCAGGACCTCCGAAGCCGTTTTCCAGATTTGCAATGCCTCAATCCCGCAAACCTCTCTCATCATCCACGACCGCCAACCCCGAAAACGCCAAACCCCACCACGCTCTATCTCAGGCGAAGTACCTGCGCTGCTATCGAACAGACAGACTGGGGAGGATGCAATAAGACGCGCAGCAAAAAGCCGCTTTAGGGTTTAGGGCTAAGGGCTTGGAGTTTAGGGAGCCCTTGACCCCAAGCCCGAAAGCCCTCCAAGGCTTCTAAACCCTGAAGCCCAATCCCCGCATCTTCTGCCCGAGGTCTTCAACCCAATGGCAAAGCCCAGTTTTGCATTTAGGGCTGAATAAGTGCTGCTTTCCTGACAAGAACGCAAGACGGAGAGCATCCCGAAAGCGGTCAAGGCATCTGGCCAGAGCGCTGCATCCCATGAAGCCTGACTCCCAAGCACTGCTGGCCTTTAACCTTAAACCCTCTTGCACCGCCCTTCCCGCAGTCAACTCTTCGGCCTGCAGCTGCGCATGGACTTCGAAAAGAATCCCCAAGAACTCCATAGTCCGGTTTCCTTCTTGTTGGACTGACATGACTCGAGAGATCTTCACCCTTGATAGGTTTCTTTGCCTTGAGGCTTTGTGTTGCATCCCCCTAATCTGAGGCAGGCAGGCGACTGCGGTGATTCGTGCAAGGATTCGGTTCAGCATCAGCCTAAGGTAGACTTCGGAGGTTAGAGGGCAGTTGAGTTGATGCTACTCGTACACCTCGTACACCGAGTCCTCAGCTACTTCTGGAAAAGGTCTTCGTGTTTTCGAAAAGCAAATGACGAGATTCAGACAGAGCTCGAAAGGATTATCCTATAGAGTAGCTGCCAGCATGTGTCAGTTCAGGAAAGTCGAAGGAAATTGGACTACGATTGTCGAGGATGTGTTTCGCATCGGGGTGCACTACAAAAGCGCAAGCCTTTCGGATTTGCCACAAAAACACTGCCACTTGATGGCACCATTTCCGATTACAGCAGCCCAGACGGTGGTCGTGAAAAAGTCATCTATGAAGCCTGATCCCAACGGCCTAGGCGACAAGCATTGAAGGTATACAAAACTCAACCGTAGCCCGAGAAATGATATGCATGCCGCTGGACCCTAACCTTTAAACCAAGTCTCAAGGACCTCTATTTGCACACAATATAAGCACGCATAGCATAGCTACAACTGGAACTTTATAGGTAATTTGTAGGCCCCTTTTCCGGTAGGGCTCAAGCTTTAAGGTTTTAGGGGGTAGGGCTTGTTGGTCCGCATAAGGGCTTTAGTGAGAGTTTAGTTCTGTTGACTTTAGGGATGGAGGGATTAGGAGAGAAAGGCTTGAGGGACTTAGACTGAGACTTGGGTGTAGGATTTATGTGGGGTGGAGACTGTCGGGCTCACACCCTACGATCCATGCTGCTCCTTTGTGCGTGAGGTCAGGCTTTGCGGCACCCGGGACCGTGATTTGGTTGTTCGGCTTTCGACTCCATCGACTTGGCTACAACCTTCAAGCCGCGTCGTGAAAAATCGCCGCAGCTTTAGATGCAACAAGGGCAGGTTGATAGCTCTCGACCATAAATGCTGGGTCGTGCCAACAGCCATAGTCGCTGTTGGAATCAATGTTTTCATCATAATTAGATCCAGAGCCACGATCAATTCCCGCGCGCTTTTCGGCTTCCAGTGAGCAACAACTAATCATTAGCCGTCTCGTTCGCGACGTCTGCAAGATGGGCGGAGGAGGCCGCTGGGGGTTTAGGGTTTTGTGCGGAAGAGGCCTTTGTTTGAAACGCTTCGGGCTTGTATAGGCTTTTGCAGGGCCTTAATGTGGGTTTCTGTTTATAGGGGGCTGTAGTTGTTGCAGGTGCTGACCCATAGTGTCAGAACCTGAGCAAGAATCCCTCGCTTGAAGAGTTTTGAGGGCTCCTCGCGTCCTGGGGATGGAGAGCCAGGGAGCTCTCCAGAAATTGGTCAGCACATGTTATTTTCATGGCTCCTACAGCCGGCTACGATGAGCAGCCGCCCATGCAAACGATGACAATAGGAATCCGCGACGAGTCCTCAGACCGAAAACGCCAAACGCAAAAGCTCGAAACCCTAAAGCTCCAGAACTCCTTAAAGCCCCAAAGCCCCAAATCGACAACAGCCCCAGCCAGGTGAAGGAAAGGGCTGGGGCTGGGGGTGGGGCCCGATGCAGCTCGACCAAAAGAGGAGAGAGGTCTTTGTAGTCTTGTAGTGGCTTTATGACGGCTCAGAAGAAGGTTTTTTTGAGGGTCTTAAGAGCGATTTGGTAAAGGTTCTTTGCAGGTTTTGCAAATCGTGTAAGGTTCTAAAGGACCCTATAGGGGTTCACAAAGGCTTTACATTTACAGGGGATGATTATGGGGTTTACCGATGATGATTACAGGGTTGTTATAGGGGCTTCAAAGTGCTGCAGTCTTCGGGTCGTGTTGGAGTTCGAGGAGGTTTGGATGTTTGGTCTCAGAGTCAGGTTGCCTCTAGGATTATTGGAGGATGGGGATGATAAGGCATCTCGAGGATTCTGATGAGGGCTATATTGATGGTTGGTGACAGTGGTAGTCTGGCCATGATGGCGACGATGGTGCCGACACTAAAGGCCATGGTTGATGATAGTGATGGTGATGATGTCCATGAAGTAAAAAGCATTCTCAAAGCCAAAATCCTTCGCCCCAGAACCCAGAGCTTTAAGACCTCACACCCCAAGAAACTCGTGAGTGAGGCCCTGGTTCCCGAAGGGATTCGGCAAGGGCAAGGGCTGGCGCCGTGGGCCCAGGAGCATGGATTGCCGTTCTGCGAGTTGTGGCTTGCGGATACAGACTGGGGTTTTGTTGATAAGGATCGCACGGGAGTATCTTCGTCAGATTTCGCACGATGGGTTCAGCTTTTGGAAGAGTTCAAGATTTGGGTGCAAGCTACGGAACAAAGAGCAGCAAAGCTGAAAGCTTGAGAAATTGAAAACGTCAAGTAACCGGAGACCCAAGCTCCGGATACCAACAGCCCGAAGATGCCAAGAAGGGAAAACTCACAAACACTTCAAACTGTGTTGCATGACCTTTGGATCCGGTCCGCGATGAATTGTCGGGTTCTAGAGGTTGGAAGGCTCGAGGTTCCAGCCTTCAGGACCACGTCAGGCAAGTGTACTTTTTGCTTTTAGGCTTGGAGTGCTTGTGTCTGGGTAGGATGCGAAGCCTGGAGCCTAGAGTTTCAACCCGAAGCAAAAAAGCCTCTCGTTCGCAAAAGCCATTTTACATGGATCAGATTTGCTGTATAGACCTTGAAGTAGCAGTCGCTTGGATCCATGATTGCGGCGACCAATTCTCCCCCAACCCTTTAACCCTAAACCTTGAACCTTAAACCCTCAACCCTAAACCGAAGCTGGCAGGATTGATCCCGCCATGAAGTGCTTGGGCTGCACCTAGCTCGAGGTTTATCGCGAGAAGATCTGGATCTCGAGGGCTTGGGGTGGAAGGCTGAGGTGTAGGTACGGTTTATTCTTGAGTTTGGGATTTAGGTCAGGTTAAGGCTTTGGAGTCTTCGGGCTTGGGGTGTGTTTCTTGAACATCCTTGCAGCTATGTATGATTCCGATGCTAAGTTTCTCTCGCTGTCCTGCTGTTCTGTTGCCAATGGTTCAACGAACGACTACCTGGCAGTTCAAGTGGTCGCTGTTCTTGTGGTCGTCACTACCGCAAGCAAAGCCGCCAATTGAAACCGCCCGGTTTCAGCACTGAGCCTTCCTCGCCGTCCTCCAAGCCCTGATACCTTGTATACATCTTGGGGCCAAGAGTACGGCAAACGACCCAGTGGCAATAATCGCAACGTTGAGATGCGCCTTGTGGCACTAAGAACATCAGTGATAACGTAGTGATAACAACGACCATCTGACAATACAAGCCAAAGTACTAGTACTAATGGTCATGACAGTGTTTTTCACAATGTCGACGAAAGCATGAGCATCAATACTGCCAGCTTTGCTTCCAATCTTTATTGCCAGAAACGCACAAAGAATAGCAGCAATAGCAATATCGATAATGATTGCAACAGCGATAAAATCAGCACCCCACGCCCTAAACCCTAATCGAACTAGTAGCAGCTTCAGGATCTGGATCGGGAACCTCCCGGAGGATGCCACTTGGAAGGAGCCGTCCCTGAGTGCCGGGAGTTATGTCCTTCAGGGTTCAGGAACTTGGGTTTGCGGTTGGGAACGCAGGGTACAAGGGCTTTAGGCGTCAGAGTTTTTGCTCCAGTAGTCCAACCTTGGGTCGCAGTCTGCGCAGGCAAGGATGTGCTGCAGTTCCAGAGAAACAGGACCCAAACCTGATTTGTGAGACCCTACAGTGAACCCTTGGCAGCAACTGTGCAGGACCTCCAGACCCTCGGAAATACCGCCGGCACGACGCGCTGGGTGGAGGTCTTCCAAGGAAAAGGCGCAAGCCAAGGGTTCGGAGGGTTTGGGGTTTGTCATTTACGTGCGCAGGTGTCGGGGCGTTTTCTTGCCGTATAGGGTTGAGGCTTCGGAAGGTTGGGCCTTTGTGGGTTGCGGCTTGGGTTCAGGATGAAGGGTTTTGTGCTTGGGAGGTGTGCCTGGTTCATGGTGTCGGAACAATTCGTAGTAGCAATCCCTGATAGCCCCTACATACATATACATATAGCATATAGCATACCACAATTTACGGCTCCCCCGCTTGTTAGGTTTTGGCAAGCAGGTTTTGGATCACGGGGTCGATTGCAGGAGGTCCAAGTCAGGAGAACCACTCCCGAGCGCTCAGCCTCCCAACCCCGAAGTCTTCAGCCTTAAAGGTAGCAATGTCAATCAGCGACACACCTCGAAATCCGGGCGAACTCCGTGAGCCCGTTTGCTCGGGTGGAAAGTAGGTAGTAGTTATTCTCCATTCGTCGCTGCTTCTTGAAACTGATCCGCATTGGTCCCCTTCATTCCACACCCTGTGTCCTTAAAGTGCTTTGGCCATTAATCATTAGAGTCGTATTCCTCATGGTTCCTTGATCTACGTATGCATGGTATCATATAACCCGAACCCAGATTCCATTTGTTTAGGCCCTTGCATCGTTTCGTCACCCGGTTCGAACCGTCACAGGTATGCGAGAATCACTGCGCTACTAAACCCTAAACCCTGTCAACTCACAGAAATCCGAGTTCCCTCAAGCCTTGCTGGGATCTGTCGGGTTTAGGTTTAGGTTGCAGGGTTTAGGGTTTGGAGGCTTAGGGTCTTGGGGTTTTGCAGTTGCGTTGTAGGGTTCGGCAGAAGATCGTTGGCCAGGCAAGGGAACCGGAATGATTGCCTACAAGACAGCGGAAGAGGCTCCGTGAGTAAGGGCTACCTCCAGAGGTACTGCAAGGGTTTCTTGGGGTCTCGGTTTGTCGAAGCTTGATGGACACGTTGCAGACCGAAGAAGCCTTCAGACAATGACCTGTCTTGAGTGTAACCAAGAAACATGTCGTGACGAGTCTTCTTACAGTGCCTATGCTGCTCATGGCAAGCGAGAGCAAGCACAATTTCCTTGACGTTTGTATGATCAGCTCGGGATGGTTTTATTGGGTTCGCCCTATGAAGGACTGTTGATGGCCGTACATGCCGTGACATCGTGACATAGTTTCACTCGCTTTGACCCTACTCACTCATACAGCTACCTACTGGCTCTCTCTTCCCAATATTATCATGCTCGCATCCTGGATCCCTCTCAGCCTTGAAGCCTGGCGTTCGCAGATGGAGCTGCTGAAACGGTTGTGCAGGATTGTTGGCGAGGGCTCTTCTCGACACTTCAAGGGAGAATCACGACATCACGGTTAGCGTTGACATTGAAACGACGACAGATGCATGAAGGCGGACTTTCAGAGACGTTTTGCACCATAGCCCGAATGTGGTGCGTGAAGAGCACTATACACCAATTTCAAGGCATTCCAAACCTAAACAACCTCAGCCTCAGCATCCAAGCCTTTTCAGATCCTTGGTAAGCCTTTCTCGTGGAAGATGCTGAGGATAAGCCGTCGGAAACCCTAGCAGCCCAGAGCTCCCCAGGCGGCAGCAGCCATGCAGTCTCTTCCCGGCCAGACCATCAATGGTCAGCCGATCCAGGTGAGAGTGTGTTGGTTTAGGGTTTACAGGGTTCAGTGGGTCGAAGTCGCGAGTTGCGGCCTGCCTTCAGGTCCAAACTGGCTCTAAATCCCAAAACACATGTCCGAACAACACCTATCCGCTGTCCGAGAATGAGGGGTGTCTAGGTTCAGCAGCGAGGGCTTGGGAGTCTCGTGGTGGCATGGCCCAGGCTTGCTTAGGCGTGTTGACGCCCCAGCCTAAACCCTAAACCCGAAAGTCCCGAAACCCTCAACCCCAAACCCCAACTCCTAAACCCTAAACCCAGCATTCGGTGTTTTGCGTCTTCACATCGAGAGGTTTGGGATTCTTGGAGAGTTCAGGGCTGAGGACTGCGAGGCCCAGGGGGATTTTGTGCACTTTTTCTGGGTGGGCTGTTGTGTGCTATGAGTTCCTTCCATTTTCTGGTGTTTTAGGGCTTAGGGTTCAGGGTTAAGGATGCGCGGGCTTAAATCACGCGGCTCCTTAAACCCCGGAATCCTAGACCTAAGCCTTGAGTCTGAATCCGAAGCTAAATCCTCTCACTTCTGATACTGCGGAGGTGGATGCCTGGCAGAAGGCGGATCCCCCTGCGGAGTCGTGAGATCTGCGCCTGGCATAGGCTTCCGAAACTTCACGCGGCCTTCCCTGCCTCTAGAGCTCTCACAGAAAGCATCGATTTAGATGTAACAACAGCTTATGCAAGTGTTGCTGTTTCTGGAGTACGGCATGTGGGCTCGTGGTTTTAAGCGTTGGAGGCTTACATCTACCATGAGCCTTGAACCCAAACTAACCCCAAGCAGCGGTAGTGCGTCAGGGCGAGTGTGTCCAGAGATTCTCAAGTAGGTCGGGTCCCGTCGGGCTTATGATTCTAAAGTCTACAACATCTTTCCTAAGGTCGAAGGATACGATCGATCTTTAGGTTCGTGTTTCGGGTTTGGGGTTGTGGGTTTAGAATCCTAATCCTAACCGCTAACTTCAACTCTTCTAGCTCTACGTCCTAAACCCGAATGCCCAACCCGAATGCCGCGCTCCTGAACCTAGGAGTCTGAACCTTTTGCACTGTGAAACCCGTGAGTTTGAGAGAGGCGGGCAGGGGAGCTCCCTAGCGTTCGGAGACTTCGCAGGGGTCGACGCTGGAGCAGGGAAACTTTTTTGGAGATCACGCAAAGCCAGCCTTGATCTAAGCCCCGATCCTTTCAAGCCTTACAAGCTGCAGGAGGAAGCCCTAAAATTTACAACCCTGGACACTAAGCTTTAGAGGCACCGTAAGAGCCTAGCCGAAAGGCGCCTCAAACCTTCGAGTGGGGTCTTGCAATGGGCTTCAGGGTTTAAGGTTTAGAAGTTTAGAGATTTAGGGTTTAGGGCTCGGGGTTGAGGATATAAGGTTCACACGTGATGGACGTTCAAGTATTTGCTAGGTTCGAAGGAAATCCCTAAACCCTAGATCTCTCAAGCCTTCAGCCCTAGAAGTTGGAGTTCTCAGAGCTTCCGCCACTTTTCGACCCTGCTCCTGAGAAAGCACTTTCAATAGCAACTTGCCGCTGCATTGCGCCAGAAGCGCCTGTGGAGAAGTTAAGTCCAAAGAAGAGCTCAGAGTATAGCCTTGGCAAGCCCCACAGCCTTAAACCCCTGAAGTCCAAAACCGTTTTGACCCTGAAAGAGCAAACTGCAAGTCTTCGAGTTTGGGTGTATGGACGCAGTTCCTTTTGAGGAGTACGTCCGGTTCTCTTTTGTGAGTTTTTTCTTGGGGTCTTCTAGCGAAGGTAGGGGTTCACGAGGTTGGGGCCACATTCTCTCGAGTAGAGGTCATGGGGGTTAGGTTGGATGTCTTGAGTCTCCGAAGCGGCACAGAGATGAGGATCATGGTGATTTTGCGTAAACTCGAGCGCATCTTTGCGAAAAGAGGGCACTGGTCTTTCGACATGTTTTGTTTCATGTTATATGTCACATGTTCTATATTATGTTGTAGATTGCATTTTTGTACATGGTTTTCTACATACTACCAGTACTGTGTACTGGGACTGGGGATTCGTATCTGGGGTTGGGGCCAGCGGCCAGGGTTTCGGTACATGTAGGGCTCTGGACCTCGCCAGGATATTGCATCAAGGCAATCGTCATTTCTGTCATCAAAACCGGGATAGTGGGCATTATATATGTATATACACACATGGACTATATATGTGTGCGCAATATGTGCATCTATATATAAGCTACCCCCCCTCAAGGATCTACCGTTTTCGTGTGTTTGAGAGCCGCAGGCAGAAGACATGAAGATTCGT